AGCGCGAGGGCGAGCAGCGCCGAGGTGGCAGGCGGAGGTGAGGATCGGGGGCGTGGCCTCTGGGCGGGGTGCGCCCGTGCTTAGGGTTTTCGTTTACCGTCTTCACAACGTTGTGAGACAGAGATCCTTTCTACTAACTGTGAAACGGTGTTGTTTGTTCACGCTGCCATCGCACACTCGTTTAGAGAGAAGCCGGCACTTAACTTGGACCGCGCACCGAACCAGAAGAGAGAGCAGCTGGCTTCAGATTCCCAGTGTGGGAACGAGGGCAAGTTAATAAAGCCAGGAGCCGAGGTAGGTGCAATAAGAATTCTTAGGTTAATTAACCTCCTGGAGACCTCTCTACATGTTATAGTGTATTTTATTATATTGCATTCAGTTCATATGTGATAAGTATCCACACTAATTAGGGATGCTGCTTAGGCTTTAAAAAAAGTTTATTGAGAGATAGCACATATTTAACTTAGATATTTAAAATGTGCAATTTGATGAGTTTTGAGATATGTACACAATTATGCAACCATTGCCACAATTAAGATAATGAACAGCTCTGTCAAGCACAGAAGTTTTTATGCCTCATTGTAATTTCTCCTTTTTCCCCATCATGTCCCCATATCCAGGAGCAACCAGTTTACTTCCTGTCATTGTAGATGAGTTTGCATTTTCTAGAGATTTATCAAGTGAAGTCAGGATGTGTTTTTGTCTTCTTTCATATAACTTCACAGTTATTTTGAAGTGCATCCATGCTGTTGCTGTGTCATTAGTCCATTCCTTTTCATTACTGAGCACTCTTATCACTGATGCATCATGCAGCTGTATGGATATTGGTTTATCCATTTAGATGTTCATGGGCATTGGGATTATCTCCAGGCTTTGGAGATTATAAATAAAGCTGCTGTGAACACTTGAGCACAAGACTTTGTATAGATGTGTTTTCTTTGGGGTGAAATTGCTGGCTCACTGGTAGGTAGGTGCTTTTTTAACTTACTGTTTTCCAAACAGTTGGTATCCTTTTAGGTTTTCTCCAGCAATGCATGAGAATTCCACTGCTCACATGTCCTCATCCACATTTGGTATTTTAGAGGTGTCGCATTGTGGTTTTTCTGGCTTTGCCTAAAGACTAACAATGTTGAACATTTTTCATGTATTTATTTGCCACCCATGCATACGTTCTTCGTTGTCATGTTCAAATCTTTTGCTCATTTTTTTTCTGCCCGTTTATATATTTGGGAGTTTTTCACAAAATCTATATACAAATACCTCCTTGAATTATGCTTTGCAGTATTTTCTCCCAGCCTGTGGTTTATCTTTTCAGAACAGAAAGATGAGATCCAATTTATCATCTTTTTCTTTATGAATTGTGATAAGAAATCTTGGCCTAATCCATCATTACAAAGATCTCTTGTTTTATTCTAGATATTTTTATATTTTATCTTTTTATGTATGATATAATGTAAGGTATAGATCAAAGTATTTTTTCCTTAAGGTTATACAGTTGTTCCAGCATCTTTTTTTTTTTTTTTTCCATACTGAAGATTGAACTCAGGACCTTGCACTTCTGAGGCAGGGTGGAGCCACTGAGCTAAATTCCCGGCCCTCTTGCATCATTTTTTTTGGAAAGGCTATCCTTTTTCCACTGTTGTAACTTTGCCATATATGTGTGGGTCTCTTTCTGGGCTCTGTTTTGTTCTGTTGATTCTATTTATCTATTAATGAGTCCAGTATCACACTACATTGATTCGTCTAGCTTTGTGATGACTTTTAAAAATTAGTACATATTAGTTATACAGAATAGAGGGTTTTGTTTTGGTGTATTTGTACACACGTATAGCATTTTTCTCATTTCTGCCTATTACCCACTATGACTCTCATACCCTTCCCTCCCTGTGCTAGCTCTTGAAGGCAAGTAAGGTCCAACTCTGTTTTTGTTTTTGAAGTTGTTTTGTCTATTTAAGAGTCTACACAATGTCTGGTGGGATTTTCATTGAAACAGCAATGAACATTTAGAGAACTAACAATAATAATTGAGACTTCTGGCTGGGCGTGGTTGTGCACTTCTGTAATCCCAGCACTTGGGAGGCTGAGGCAGGAGGATCGCTGTGAGTTCGAGACAAATCTGGGCTACATAGTGAGTTCCAGGTCAGTCTCAACTACATAGTGAGACTCTGCCTCAAAAAAAAGCCCCCCAAAACAAAACAAAACAAAACAAAAAAACAGTTGAGACTTCTGATCCATGTACAAGGCATTATGTTTATTTGGGTTATATTTAATTTCTCTCTGCCATGTTTTATAGTTGTCATTGTACATATATGACACATATTTTGGAGTATTTGTGGATCTTTGGGCAGAAGTTGATATTTTTAACACTATTAAAGTATTATTAAAAATTTATATATTTAATTCAGTTTCTGCTTGTTGATATTAAGTAGAAATACAGTTAGCTTTATATATTTGTTTTGTATTCCTCAACTTGCTAGGCTGACTTATTTGCTTTAGTAACTTTTTTTTAATAGATCCATTGGACTTTTCATGTAGATAAATCATATCTTCTACAAATACAGTTTTACTTCTCCCTTTCCAATCTAGATGTTTTCTTTTTCTTTTTTTTTTAAGAGTAGGAAAAATTTATTGAGGGAAAGAAAGCTTCTGTCTGAGAGAGAAGGGGGACTGGAAAGTGGGCTGCCCCCATCCCACTTTTCAAAGATGTTTTCTACAGCAAAGCCATGTGGGGATGTGGTGGGAACAAAGCTGTAAGACCCAATGGAAAATGATTAGGTGGGCATGAGGTGGGGCAAAACCATGACTAACCAATAAGATTTCAAGTACAATCACCCAGGTAATACTGATTAAATGGGGGTCAAATGGGGGAGTTTTATTTTTCTTAATTTACAGTTGCTAGCACCTTCAGTGCAATGCTAATAGAATGTATTTCTTGTGTAATTTCTCTTTTTATTTTAGTTTATTAGTATATATATGTAGTATGTACTGTTTACATTCCTTGTGTGGAATTGGTACATGTATGTAACACACCCCAAATTCCTTTTTTAATCCCTTATCTTTTCCTCCTTCCCCTTTCCCATCTCTTGACCCCCTTCCTATTTGAGAATGGTCTGTCTCCCTACTTCCTATTATCTTTTTTTTTTGTACCAGAGATTGAACTCAGGACCTTGTAATTACTCCTATTATCTTTTTATTTTACTCTTTAAAAAAAATTCTGGGTTTCTCATATAAGAGAAACAATGTGTATAATTTCTTAGAAAGGGTATTTAGTCTTTATAATTTGCTATGATATAAACTGTAGGTTTTTGGTAGATATTATTTGCCAGGTGGAAATTCCTTTCCTTGGCTGGTTTGTTGAGTTTTTTTTCCTGATGGAGAATGGATGTTGATTTTTTTTTTTTTTTTTTTTT